TTACAAATGAAGAATTTTCTTAAATCATATTAGAAAAAATTAAGTCAGACATTTTGTGCTTAATCAAGGGTTAAACTACTTGCTGTCTGCCCACTGAGCTCTTCGGCGTACGTAATGTATGTCCTAACAGCTAAAGTTGTCAACATAAACTGGATTGCTAAGCTATACTAAATATAAAACATTCGCATATTTTTGCTCTTACAAAGGAAAATTTTCTATATATGCTCCACACAACATAACTTGTCTCTTATTTATTTGCCTCTAAAGGGTGGTTGACCGCAAGAATGGAAAGAATCTTCTTCTATTTGGATGACAGGTTCCAGCTTGTGATACTTTTTACCATATAAAATTCAGGTGAAATAAAATGTTTTAAAAATTAAAAAGAGGCAGGACACAAAATTATATATTTTATATGATTCTCACTTTCTAACACACACACACACTAAATACGTATAAGAGAAAATAGAGGTTAAGAAAGATCTATTACCTCCTATGGATGATTGTTTATATATTATTCTATATTTTCCAAGCTTCCATTAGTAAGCATACATTCCTTTTTTTTAAGGGTTTATTTATTTATTTTTAGAGAAGGGGGAAGGAGGGAGAAAGAGAGGAAGAGAAACATCAATGTGCGAGAGATACATCGATCTGTTGCTTCTCTTGTGCCCCCAAATGGGGACATGGCCTGCAACCCAGGCATTGGCCCTGACCAAGAATCGAACCAGCAACCGTTGGGTTCAAAGGACAGCATTCAATCCACTGAACCACACAAGTCAGGGCATCATACATTCCTTTTAAAGTCAGAAATAAAAGTTAAGGTAGTAACAAATTCCATCTTCTTGTTTCTGTGTTTACTTTTTTCTCAAACACCCAGGTCAAATAGCATCGCATAATGCAGCCTGGGGCAGAAAAGGCACATGGAGTTTTTTTCCCACTTTAGCCAGCTCCAACTATGCCCATTACAAGGGACATCTGGGCTATGTCCTTCTAAATGTTCTTATTAAAGTAGGAGATGTACAATAGGCAAACCAGAGGGTGCATGCCATTATCACATATAAAACTGCTGGCACTTTTTAATGCAAATTCCACTTCAGTCTCCTGTCAGGTCAGACCTTATCCACTATGGTTGAATCATAAAGCTGAGGTGCTGCTCACTGTCCTCTCAACAGGCTCCTGGATTATACCCTGTACACCAAGCATCTTCGTTTTTACAGTGTTCTTTCTTTTCTCCCTACCCCTGACTTTACCTCAAGGACATTGTAAAGAGAATAAAATTGAAATATGTAGAGCATTCTCAGCCCCTCTGAATGTGGGCAGAATCAGAAATAAAAAATTATCTAAGTTTCTGTTACTCCTCATTCTGCTTTATATACCTGTCATCAATAAGACATAGTTCATTCTCTCCATTTTTTTTCCAAATACTGATGAAAGAAAATTTTTCCATAAAGGTTCCTAGTTAAGTACCCAATCTTTTCTCTTAAACATTTATGATATGGCCTATTTTGTAAGCTTAGTTTTAGATTCGGTAGTATCAGGACTAACAATATTATTGTCTTTTGCGCTAATACATTTTATTTTGTAAGGTTCTGAACAATCAGAAAGCAGCATTTTCTAAATAACAATTCCATTCAATATCAACAAAACTACCCATGTGTTTATGTTAATAAAATGTAAAAATTTGGTACCAAATTTGTTTACTGAACCAATCGTTTGGAATTACCTTTAGGAGTTAAACAAATATAGTTTAATGTATTTTTAAACTAGGGCTGACTTTTTAAAAAGTGTTTACATTTAAACTATACGTAAATTACAGTCATAACGCTAATGAATAGAATCCTAGCTAGGTAGCCAATATAAATTCATTGTCGTTACTTATGCGCACACATCCTATTACATGTCATGTCCTACAAGACAGGACATGATGTGTAAGTGCCTTGCTTCTTCATATCTCTTTCACTGAAAACAGTTCCTCAGGAATCCAAACCAACAGTAATGGAAACAGAGAAAACAAAACAAACACAGGACAATGTTTATATAAAGAACAAAGGTTAATGCATAACTTCAGGTCTCTTCTTATTTATTTGGTTAGTAGTTATCTTAGTTAATGAAGAAAATTATTAGCTTCATTCTTTCAACATTTATTTATTCAATAAACCATGGGCTCTGAAGATGAGTGGACAGGACTTGGACCAGTTATTTATTTAACCTATGTCTCAGTTTCCTAATCTGTAAAATGAGAATAATATCAGTGCCTAACTCATAGGACTGTTGGGAGGGTTAACTGAGCAAATGCACACAAAACGGTTAGAACAGTGCCTGATACAGAGTACTCGATCAATTCTAGGTGTGCAGGAACACGACAGAGAGCACGTCGAGGGTCCTTGCTCTCACGGAGTTTACACTCTAGCGGCAGTGTGGATGGGGTGGGTAGCAAAAGACATCACAAAAACCACACAGCTAATAACATCTTTACAATTGTGTTAAGTGTAATGAAGGAAAAATACAGGGCACTAAAGAGCAATGTGTGGGCTGTTTTTCCAATGAACAGAGTTAAACTTTTCTGGTTTAGATCAATAATTATCAATTTGTATGTTGCAAGAATTTTTTATTGAGTTTATTGGGTGACATTGGCTCACAAAACCACACAGCTTTCAAGTGTACAACTCAACAAAACAGCATCTGCACACCGCATTGTCCACCCATTGTCCAAAATAAAGTCTCTTTCCGTCCCCATTTATCCCTCCATTGTCCTCTTCCACCATCTCCCACCCCCTTTTCCCTCTGGCTGTCACCATATGTGATATATATAGATATAGATATATATTTTTCTTAATCCCTTCATCGTTTTTTTCACCAAGTCCCCCTACTCCCCTCCCCTCTGAGAGCTATCAGTCTGTTCTATGTTTCTGATTCTATTTTGTTCGTTAAATTGTTTTGTTCATTAGATCCCACATGTAAGTGAGATCACATAGTATTTGTCTTTCTCTGACTGGCTTATTTCACTTAGCCATCACTCCAAGTCCATCCATGCTATTGCAAAAGGTAAGATTTCCTTCTTTTTATGGCTGAGTAGTATTCCATTGTGTAAATGTACCACAATTTTTTTATTCACTCATCTACTAAGGGGCACCTGAGTTGTTTCCAGATCTTGGCTCTTGTAGATAACACTGCTATGAACATAGGGGTGCATATTTTTTTGATATAGTGTTTCAGGTCTCTTCCAATACATTCCCAGAAGTGGAATCACTAGGTTATAAGACAGTTTCATTTTTAATTTTTTGAGGAAATTTTGTACCGTTTTCCACAGTGGCTGCATTTCCACCAACAGTGCATGTGGGTTCCTTTTTCTTCACATCCTCATCAGCACTTGTTATTTGTTGATCCATAAGAATTTTTAAAACAGGCAGTACTTGACTATTTACACAGAGGCACTGACCTGTTCCTTTATACTGTCAAATAAAAAAAATGACAACAATCAATACAACAATAGCTGTCTGCTGTGAAGGAATCAATAATGTACCTACTTCTTTTGTTGCATTGGTAAAACATATTTTTTGGCATGATGCAGAATTTTGTAATTAGTTTATATGTGTCATGAGATGAAATAGGTTGAAAGTCGCTCATTTAGATTCTTGATACTGCATTTTGTAAAATCAAGAACATCTGAAATTTACACTATCAGATATACTATATGATATATATCATATGTGGTTTGATTTACAAAATCAAACTTAAAAGTTGAGAACTTTTAATATAAAGATGATAGTACATATATTAAGGTGTTTAAAGAAAAGTCTTAGTACTTGGTGAGGGGAATCATTCAATCTATTTAATTAAAATAATAAACTAATCCATGACTTACTAAATATTTTACTTTTCATCTTTTAAAGATATATCTTAACACCTGAGGAAGAAAAATCATTCAATCCATTTGATTACAGTGACGAATTGGTCAATGACTATTTTACTTTTCAACTGTATTGCTCTTCAAAGACAGAATTTTTCAATACCCTTAGATAGGAAGGGTTGCCCAGTGATTCCGGGGCCCATGCTTTGAAATTGGGAGACCAATGATTTAGGCTCTAACATTTAGCTAATTTTTAAGCTTTAGGCCAATTCCTCCACCTCCCTTACGTTTCAGATTCTTCCTCTTTAAAATGGGAATAACAAATTTTTATCACAAGATTGTTAAGTGATAGTCTAGCAACCCTCTAGCAGCCTCGAGCACATAGTAGGCATTGAAAAAAGGGGAGCTGCTAATCCAGAGGACTCTGAAAGGTAGACCTTTCTCGCTATGGATTTTAGACTACTAAGACCATCAAGAATTTTTCAGTGTTTCATTTTTCTATGTTTGTCAAAATGACACGTCTTTCTGTGCATAGTCTGACTTAAAGAAAAAATAATGTAACATTTGAAAGTAAGATTACTAGATGAGTCTTAATTGCAGAATCAGTGTTGGCATTTATTCCAAATTCCCTTCAATCCTTCAGTTGCAAATAATACTAACTTTAGGGTATGTCAAAACCTCATTTTGCACAGAGGACTTCAACCCAGGATTTCTGACTTTTTAAGAGCTGAGAGCATATTTACAGAATTCAAAGCCCGCCCATCAGTGCCTCCGCAAAGCTGGCAGGCCACCAACAGCTGCTTCCCTGGGCAGCCTGAAAGACTCTGATAAACAGGTGAGAGTCAGGGTCCTGCATGCGGAGTGAGCAGGGGGTCTGCCTTGGGTTCATTGATCCTGGGGTTTGGAGGTTGAAGGGCCATGCCTGCTCGTTACAATGCTTTCCACCGTCTCCCAGTCTGCGGGTCGTCCCTTCCTCTAGAAAACCAAGCTCCTTACCCCTCCACTCCTCGCGACCCTACTCCTGACCCCTCTGCCCCCGCCCTTATTTGTTTTTTATCTCATCCGGCCTGGCTCTGCAACGGCCAATCAGAAGGCAGCCCTCCAGAGGGGGTGGAACTAGGGGCGGAGCTGATTGGCCGAAGCTAAAGTCACACGCTTTAGCTCCGGGGCAGTAGACGTGCCTGAGACACGTTGGCCTGCCGAGGGTGAGACGCCTGATCCGAGGTCGGGTACAACGATCCCCAGCGCAACCCCGACACCATGGCGGACAGCCGGGATCCAGCCAGCGACCAGATGAAGCTTTGGAAGGAGGGGCGGGCCACGCAGGTAACACCTTGCGCTCTCCGCGGGTAACGGCCCTGGCTTCCCCAGCGCGGCGACGTTCCGGGGCTGTACCCCTGATCACGGACTGGGGCGGGGGGGGGGGGGCGCTTTTTTTTTGTTGTTGTTGTTCCAGATGGAGTTAACATTCCTGGGAAGGAGTGAGGGTTAATGGGACGGGGGATGGGGGCAGCGGGCCTGCAGGATTTGTCGCGAGTGATTGGTGCAGGCTTGTAGGGCGGCGGGGGTGATTGGCTCGGAATTTTGCACTTTGCCAGCTGGGACAGAGGTCGCAGTTTGAGGGAGAAATGGAGGCGCGTGAGGAAGAGGCAGCGAGCAAGAAAGGAAGTGAAGGGGGAAGTGGAAACAGGCTCTGTTTTGATCTTGCTTGAACGATAACTGCAAGCTTTCATATTTGTGGGCTGCCATGTGATTAGGGACCGTATTTTATTTTCTCGATGACCCCAGCACCCATCATGGTGACTAATACTTAGTATGCACAGCATTAAACTACTAAATAGAAGAATTTTACATCCATTATTTCATTTGCACTGGAAAACATCAAGCCTGGTATCTTGGAGCTAGAAGCGACAATAGGGATTAATTAGTACCTTTATTCACTCGTATTCTTTCAGTGCCTGCAGGTACTAGGCACTGTGCTGTGAGAAGGCATACAGAATCCAGTGAGGCCTGAACTAGGATGTCGAAAAGTTCAAAGTCTAGTCTGGGAGACCAGATAGACCCATGATTGCTATCCATTGTAGTGAGGGCTCTTGTGTAGGTATCTGTGAAGTGTAAAGGGAGGGACCGACTTTGCTTGACAGGCTTCCCAAAGAACGTGACATCTTAACAAGGCCTTTAAAGATGAGTAGGATTTCAGCCCAGTGGTGGTGGGTGAGGCATTCCTAACCTGTACCCAGAGTCTTGAAGGGCATCTTTGAGGAGATGGCAGTAGATAAGAGCACTTCTGGTCTGAGTCTTTTTATCAAATTGGCCCAGAGAATCTGAGGGACTTGCTTGTTTCTGGTGCAGCTGGTTAATGGCAGAGGACCAGAGTCTAGTTTTGACTCATCTTGCCTAGCGTTCTTTTTCAAAACCGGCTTAGTATTCATGAAATGGGGTATTAATACTAAGTGCACATGCATTGGTTTATAGTTAGTTAATTCCCTGTTTGTGAGAAGGCTGCTGTTCTCTCAGGGCCTGGAAAGTCTTTTCCGTCCTGTTCTTTATTGCATGCTAGTAGGCTAGTTCAGTTTTTCGTAAGTTTTTAATTAAAGTGAACCAGAGAGACTTGGAGTCTTATCAAGCCTGCGCACCTTGTTTGTGGGCAGAAGTCAGCTCTCAGGGACAGGACTTTTTCCATATCTAGTGGTTGATAAATCCTGTTTCACACAGAAGTTTTCATGAATTGAGAAAAATAGGGACAATGTAACAAATTTTTCCTGAAACAAAATTTATTCCTTTGAAAGGACTCCCTTTCATTCTGAGACTAGTTTGGCTCTTCATTGTTTAGGAGAATCGTTAACTGCTGTAAAGTCATTAAGACCCTGCTGGTGATTTACCCTACATGGTTGTCCATGTCAGAAACAGCTGGCCTACAAAGCACATAAATAATTAGGGGACTAGTGTTTGAAATACTGCAGTCTCCTCTGCCCTTGGCATTGTAATGCACCGTGTACTTTGTCCCGATTGGTAGCCCCATTAATGTGTTGTTATTCTTCATTTTTAGATGCTCTGAGTGAAAGCAGCTTATTTTTTTGAAGTGACCTCTGTCCCACAGCCCCCAAAAGGAATTTCACATATGTCACTAAGCCTGTATAGTTTTCCAGTGCTTTGTTATCAAAAATTTCTAACACCCAGAAAAGTCGAAAGAATTCTGCGGTGTATACCCATATATCCACCATCTAGAGTCTACAATGAACATTTTGTTATAGATCTTTTATTACATGTATTCCATCCGTCCATTCCTTCATACACTCATTAACTCATTTTTTTCAGAGTAAGTTGTATACATCAGTAGATTTTACTCCTTAACACTAAGCATACAAATGAATAGAGCTTAATGTTTATGTTTTTAAGGTAATACTTAAACACAGTGAAATACACAGATACTAAGTGCATCATTCTATGATATATACACCTGTGAATCCTACTCGCTTATCAAGATATAGAAGCTTATCACCACCCTGGAGAGTTCCCTCACGCTCTTTCCCAGTCATTTCTTACAATCCTGCCCTAGGCAACCACTGTTGATTTTCTTTTCGAATCGTTGATTTATGTACTTTTTGGTGTAATGCTTCTCTCATTCAGCAAAAAGGTTTTAGACTAAAAGGAATGTTTTAAGATTCATTCATATTGCTGCATGTATCAATTTTTTTTTTTAAATTGCTGAGTGCATTCTATTGAATGATGTACCACTGTTTGTTTATCCTGTTGCTGGATACCTGGGCTATTTCTAGTGTTTGGCTGTTATGATTAAAGCTGCTATGAAAAATCTTATACAAGTCTTTTGTGCACATATGCTTTCGTTTCTCTTGGGAAATCCCTAGGAGCAGAGTTGCGGGATCATTGAGTATGTGGATGTTTTATGAGAAACTTGCTATGCCTTTTTCCAAAGTGGCTGTACCATTTTTCACTTCTGGCATCAGTGTATGAGAATTCCAGGGGCTCCACATCCCGTCAGCTTTTGGTAGCCTTCTAGCTATTCTGCAGGGTGCGAAGTGGTATCTCATTGCAGTTTTAACGTGCGTTGCTCTGATGATCAGTGGTGCTGAGCATCTTTTTTATGTTTAGGCTTATGGACTATTGGTATTTGTTCCTTGGAAGTATCCATTCAAATCTTTTGCCCTTTAAAAATTGAATTTTCTGTTTTTGACTCATAGCCCACATTTAAAGTTAAATCATGTGTGGGCTAAGTGCTATAATAATAGATCTCGAAATATGTAATGGTGTAGGCTATTAGAAATTTCTTTCTCTTTTACACAATGAGCCAAAGAGGTTGGAGGTTGAAGAGGAGAGTGTAACCCTGCTGTCCATAGTTATGGAAGGCTTCAGGCTGACGGAGCCTCCCCTGGTGTCAAACAGGACCGTCAAGGTTGCCGTGGGCATCTCTGTCTATCCACAGAAGTTTAAGACATGGAGTGTGTATGGGAGGTTTAGGGGCCAGGCTGGAAGTGGGGTAGGTCACTTCTACTCGCATTCCCTGGCTGAAACTGTCACATAGCCACATCTAACCGTGAGGGAGGCTGGGAAATGTAGTCTGTCCTTGTGTCCAGGTAGCTGACCCTACTACGTGATCCAAACCGTACATTCCATGTTTGGTGACAATCTGTCCAGCCATTTTATTGTGATGTGGTGAAAAGCAAAAAGACATAATCTCTTTTTAAAGATTATTTCCTTTTTACTTTTTGACATTAAAATACTCTTTCTGTTAGAAAATTTTGATAGTAATGGATGGTATGTTTTAAAAATCTCCTCTTGCTTGGGAAATGCTCTTATATAGATGGGCAGCTCTGTATCAATATTCTCTCTCTCACTCCCCAAGTTGTTTTTACTTTTACTGAACTGTGCAAGCTCTGAGTTTTGGAACTGCTATTAGGTGGCACCGTGTTGTCTCCTCCTCCTTCAAGACCCAGTTGCAGGATGCTAAGCTGGGTGTATTCTCCTTTGCAATTAGAGTGTCAGCCAACGTGAAAACAAGTTTTTGGGCGTTTCTCCTTGTGGTCACGTTTTGTTGCTGGCAAGTGAACTGAGAGTTTTGTAAACTTTAATAAGTGAACACTGAAATAAATATACTTAGATATGACTTGTATCTTCTTAAAGAGTTTTATTTCTCTTTCTCTCAAAGTACATTGTGGGGAAGGAGGTGATTTTCCAGGTATTCCCAGTCACTTTGGATGGAGCGTAAATGGGAACTTTGCTGTTCGCTGCTTAGAATGCCACAGGCTCTTCCATTAGGCTTCATTCCATTAGTGGCCTCTACTCCCTTCAAAATCGGAGACTGAATAGTTAAAGCCTTATCTTTTTAAATAGTGCCCTTTTTACCTGGGAGAGAGGTTGGGTCTTAGCTCATCCTTTCCTGTCAGTGAGTCATAAGACAGCCTGTGAGAGTCTATGTATTTTTTGGAGGTTAACTTCATAATTGCATTGATGTAACACTGCTAACATTTGGGGTGGAGAAGGGGTGATTGATAATTTAATGCCCTGTACACATGTGGTTTCATTTGTCTTGGGAACTACCTAGGAATGGAATTGCTGAGTCATAGTGTATTGGGGTCGGTCGGGGTGGGGGGGGGCGGCAGAGAGGCAGACAGACACACTATTGAGTAATGGAGTAAATGTTTCTAAGTTTCTATTTCTGCTTGCCAATATTTAGACCACTCTGTATTTTTCTCCACGTAAGAAAAGAGAGGCTTATTGCAAAAATATAAAACAAGCAAATATTTATTTTTATTTTCTCTTCATTTTTGTTCCATATTTTCTTTCCGAGTATTGTGACTACTATAATTTTTGTTACACAGAGTAAAGGAATCTTTTACATTTATGGATCAGTTATTCTTTATTTTTTGAATCTTTCTCTTTTATCCCCTACTTTTTAAAAATTTTTTTAATTGAAGGACCTTGCCTGTTCTCAGTGCTGCCACTTATTTATTAAAGACAGTTTCAGGACAGAGAAAACCTCCTTCATAATAGCTATTTATTATTCTATGCATTTTAATGGTTTTCTTTTTCATAGGATTATTCTAAATATTTGCTAATTATTGAAAACCACTAACAATTTCTTGATCATTCCTTGTTGGCAGCTCACCAAGAACAGAGGAAAAAATAAGAGCAACTATAGCAATCCTCCCTTATGCACAGGGGATATTTTAAGACCCACAGTGGATGCCTGAAACCACAGATAGTACTGAACCCTATGTATATACACACACTCTCTTTTTCTTTAATACATACAAACCTATGGTAAAGTTCAATTTATACAGTAGGTGCAGTAAGACAATAAGACA